TGATACCAGCCCTTCTGGTAAGTTCTTTACCAGTATTGATTTATTGCAGATGAGTGAAAGGGTTTATATTCGCAAGTACAAACCATACAAGACGTGATTTATGTCAGCATATTTTGAACTCTTCTATCGCTTAAATTAAACATCGTGAGCTTGTTTTTCGTCTTTTTGGCCTTGGTTTGAATACGTTGATAACTGTGAGTACAGCTGAAGCAAAAGATGAGAAAGCTTTCTCAGAAGTGGAGGCTTCCGAAGAAGCTTCTGAAGCCAAGGAGGAAGAGGAAGTTTCACCTGCCGCAGAAGTGAGTGCTGAGGAAGCAAAATCAAAGCAGGATGATTCTGAAGTAGAAACTACTGGAGCAACCTTCACCTACGAACGGCTACAAGCCAAATCTGGGAAACCAGTGACAGGCATTGACTTCAAACGCAGAGAGGTGAATCAATTGAGCCGAATTAGCGTTTTACCTTGTCTTAATTTGTTGGTCTCTTATTCCTCAAACCGATTTTTCAGGCTTACTTGTCTGAGGAAGAGTTCAAGACTGTATTTGGGATGGAGAAAGAAGCATTCTACAAATTGCCTAGATGGAAGCAAGATTTACTGAAGAAGAAATTTGACTTGTTCTAAGGATTCTCAAAAAAAAATAGGAGGTGGAAACATCACAAACATCCTTAAATCTCATGATCCTCCATGTCAAATATATACTAAGAGCAAAGACACGATTTGCCATTGTGTTATTGGTTATGTAGTGACCTCAGCGCTGCAGCTATGAAGACAATGAACAGTTCCTTTTTTTTGTTCCTTCATTTTTCCTCTTATTGTTTTGGTTTCTCATGGGTGGGTTTTGGGTTTGATTCTTCATATTCATACCACAATTTGGTGTGTTATTGTAATGATTGATTTGTCTTAAACTTGTCTTCGTTATTTTGGGGGTTTATTTTTTTTGGGTAAGGAGAGTTGTGTGGTGGTGGTTAGTAAATTCTTTGGTCGGGATTTCACATTACTTTGATTGTATAAAAACATTGTCTACTTGTAAACTCATGAAATATCAATATATCGGTGTTAGAACCGTTTGACAATTGAGACACCATTTGATTTGGTTGTTCTACTTCTATGTATGTTGCTAGCAAAGCTGCACATAGTACATGACAGAAACGTGTGTTGGAGTAAATGCAGTTAAATTATTTCATCAGAATCATGAAGTGAGAAGAAAAGAAAGCAATTTATAGAGCAACAACAACCAAATTTATGCCTGACCTGGTCTCCCACCAAATTGGTATCATTTTCTTCTATCTTTTCTTTTTATTGTGCAACAAATCAAGGAACAAAATTAGTTGGGGAATCAGAATGATTACGTCAATTTTGCATTATCTTCCAAGGTAATAATGAGAATAAAACACACACAAGATTCGTTGGACTCAAACAAACGTATAAGAGCTTATATTAAATCTTCTTTTGGAAAAAATGATTGTCATCACAAAATCTACTTAAGTTTGTGACTTTTCGTACACGAATATTTAAGACTTTTTGCTTTTGCTACACAATTATAGTCTCGCTAGTTAGTAGTTACACAAAGATAACAAACGAAATTAAACCATAAACAACGTAAGAATCCCATTAAACACACTTATTATGTTTATTGAACTGTCAGAAGTCAGAACCCGACTGATATTCTGATAACACCAACAAAAACCATTTGGCAAAAAAAAAAAAACACTAACAAAAACCATTAACTTACATGTGTTTTATCTAAAATCGATTTTTCTTATAACTTCAAAACATTAGTTTTTAAAAAGTTTAATTTTAAAAAAGTTTATAATCGTCGTTACTATGATGATCTAAAGAATCGACCATAAAAACAATCTTTGGAATTTACGTGTGAATTTTTTGAGATGGGCAATGTTGAACGACGACGTCGCTTTGAACGAGACAGGTCAGCAGCAGCCATATCAGTCTCGGCACGAACTCTCTGCCTAAGCGAGAGGGTCCACACTCCAAAAGGAAAATGAAACCTATATGACCAATGATCAATTGACACGTGTGTGGAAGAAAGAGTGTCGGTTCCTTTTTGTCGTTACTCTTTTTTTATACTATAATGAATTATTTAACAAATACTTCCTATGTTCTTTTTAGAGATTTCACATATTTTAATAAACAATCATTGTTTAATTATTTATTTTTATTAAATATTTTTAATAAACTATGAACTAATAGTAATCTAAAACAGATAATCATTACATCATGAAATCTACGATTTATTAATATCAATTAATTAAAAACAAAAAAAAAATGTAGAAAACCAATCTTTGTGGAACAAACCTAAAACACTAGAACATCAAACTTTTAAGAACAGAAGGAGTATACTTTTGTTTCTTAAGGAAAATACTTTTAAAAAGTTCCTATGAAATGAAAAGATTTACAAAAAAAAAGATTATTTAATACTCTGATTGATCAATATATACCGGTATTTGATTAATTTTACATGTTAAATAAACATGCATATTTTCCTATAATCCTCTGCTTAACTTTGAGTACTAACATATGTAGCCAATGTGCCAACAAATATATATATATATATATATATAAACATGCATATAATATAACATATTAATGTTATTAGAAGAATGTTATTTTCATCATGCTGGATCGTATGACATAAGTAGTACGAACAAAACCCTCCATTACCAAAAATGTATTCTTTCAGAAAATTTAACTTTATTTCTAACAAACAGCTTCACAAATTCATTAAATGAATTTTATCATGTTGTCACTTGTCAGTGTTCTACTATTAAAGAAATAAAGTCCCGGCTGCGCCATCTTTAATTTAATTAAAGTTATGGTTCCTCTTCTTCTTTTGTAAGAAAACTAAAAAAATTTAAAATCCAAGGTTTGAAGCTCCCATAACTTGCCATGTATACAAAGCTCATTAGAAAACTCCAACATCAACTAAAAGTGTTTTTCAATACATTAAAAATTAATGTTTTGAATACAGAGACTATAGAGTGATTGATCAATACGATAGTATTTGATTAATGAACTAGACTACTTTTTGAGTAAAATAGTTAACGTCGTTGAAATGGTAAAATAAAGAAAAAGCAAAGCACGCTTGTTATGGATAAATGTGAATTCTTGGCTTCTAAATGAAGCCATTGTAGTAGAGAGACTTAACTTGCTACTCCTTGAAAGAACCCCACTTTTGTATTTTTTTAATGTCTTTCTCCTTTGTTTTCTTTTGTTGTTGATAATCTTTCTTTTCACAACCTCACGCCTTTAATGTGTGTGGACATACAAAGATACTGACTTCATCTATATCCACAACAATTAGTGATTTACATTATGATACTATTACTATATGTTTTTTTTTTTATCGTCTAGATTTATTATTAATTGTAAATTATGAAAACTGTTACATAGACGATTCTACAACTGACAATTCCTTCCGACCTTTATTAGATCTACGACAGACTACACTTCCTTCTTCATAATCTTGATGAATACCTTCAATGATCCATGACCTGGCGACATTTCTTTCTCTGCGTAGAATCCTGGCGAACGGCTATAATTGTACATCGCTGGAGATCTCCTGCATACTTGCCTCTATTAATCTGCAAATTTGTTAATAAATCGCAATATCTAGGACTCGAACCTCAAACCTCTTGATGTAGAAACATTAATCAACCCTTGGTCAACCAATACACCAAGAAGCTTCCACTATTACTATATGTTTAATCTACAATGTGTGATTCGAAATAAACTTAAATCTTATTTGGATATAATTAACCACATCTTGTTGCTATTCAATATTTACTTTGAAAACCATATGTTATTCATCAAGACGAGAATTGAAATCTCCTCTATTTTTTAAAATATTTAATTTGGAATGAATTTGGATGGATTTATAAAAGAATTGTTAAGTATCAAAATCCAAGGTATTATTATATCTAATTGGACGAAGTTTTGACCATTATACAATGAATGAGTGTAGAACTAATGTTTTCAACAACAACGAAAATGATATATATAACTAGTGACTGTAATGAGTGGAGATAAAAAGTTTCAACCGAATAAAGTGATTAGACGATGAGCTTTTTGATTTATGTGTTTATGTCACTACCACCTTTGAGGCTTCGATGATAGTAATTGGGAAGATAGGAGAATCCGATTCCAACGATGAATCTCGTGATGGCATTATTGTTTTGTTAAAATAATAGGTTTCAATAATTGAAGAAAGAACAAAAGACGTTTTCTAAAGTTTTAGTGTTAGACAAAAATATAAGTGGTGGGCAAATTGACTTTAACCAGCTCAAAAGACAAAGTAAACACATGCGACGTGTGTCTTTATACCAACAAAAACAAATCAATATAGTAATTAAAATTTCTAATTATGAAACATGTGATATCATCATCATCATAATTGACTAATTGTCTTGTAAAGGCCTCCTTTCGTAGACTGATTATTTAGCCCGAGTCATATAGGTTATCGCGGTATGTTATCTAAACTTTTGTTTTGAATGTATTATGATGTATTGGGATTTTTGTTCTGCTGTATTCAGATTTTCTTTGTACTTTCTAAAATTATGCTATCTGAAAAACAAAATATAAGCAATAGTCTATTTTATTTAATACATGGTATTTTAAAAATATATATGTTCCGTTACAATCAGATATTTGTAGCCCACATCGTTAGGAATCAAATTTTGTGGAGTTTCTCTACATACTGAGAATCAATTATACTCTCTCCGTTTCGTTTTAGTTATCGTTTAAAGTTTTTTCACACAAATTAAGAAAAATATTAAATTTTCTGTTTTATCCTTTATTAATATATTTTATAGTAAATTTCATTGGAAAAACATTAAAACATTAGAGATAAAACTGAAATTTTCACCAAACATTTGCATTGAAAACCTAAAACGACAACTATTATAAAACAAAATTTAAATCCTAAAACGACAACTAAACCGAAACGGAAGGAGTATCCAGAAGAAAATAATTTCGAGGTTTCTAACAAAATAAATAAATACAAAAAATGGTCCATTACCGACATTTCCGGTATAAATCCAAAACAATCGTATTTTCCTGATTTTATCAAATGATTATATCGAAGGAGACCAAATCAATAACGAATACATCGTGGACACACTAATAGAACATCCGTGAAAAATAAAAAATCTAACAACATAACAAATGTCAAATGTGTACAAAAATCTCGAACACAAAATAAAAATTTCCCTATTTTTTTCTTTTGTAATTTTAATAATGCTAACAGTAATTATAAACAGAAGAATCTAATTCACAAGAACAAATACGTTTCATAATAATATCAATAATATGATTACTATTACCACCACCTCGTTGTATTATATCATGATTCTTTATCGACGAAGCCGCCGAGTTTCTCGTCCTTAACTCAGCCAGTGAACTCGCTTCCGGTACCACCGACTCACTCGTAACCACCTCAAAATTCTTCGTCATGTGCACATTCCCAACAAGTTGACTCAGAACCACCGATTCCGTAACCGAGTTCTTCTTCTTATGCTGCTGCTGAATCGTCGCTCTCACAATCTCAGTGTGCATGGAGCTAGCTAATCTCCTGATTCCTTTAGCTCCACCGATCAAAATCGCCGGATTAACCTCGGAGCTTTTCTTGCTACTACTGTGTTTAGAAAAGAAGAGGACTGACTCGGGGCTCCGGTTACGAATCCGGGTTAACGGGTCACCGAGGAACAAGGAGGTTTTAGCGTCCACGAGCATAACGTGTTTGAAATTGCGTCTTACTCGACCAAGCAGCATTGGGTAACACGCCCATCTTCTCAAGCTTATCGGAACGTGATCCATGAACCCGGATAGCGAGTTTTCAGGATCCAACTCAGTCACGTCGAAACCCACTACTGAGCCATGAGTCAACAACTCGGTTGACTCGGTCGAGTTGTTCAATGACGACGAATCGTTGAAATTATTCGCTCGATGAGTCTTCTTCCCCCAAATTGGCTCTGATGACGATGATGATGTCTCCTTCTTGCTCGATTGCTTCTTCATGAAATTCGCCAGATTAAATCCCCAAACGGAGTCGATTTGATTCGACGAATTCGAATTCCGATGAACATCAACGAGTTTTAAGAAGGAGTCGTTCTCTTCTTCGATCAATTCGACGAATCTCGAACCTGAATTGAAGAGTAGAACGACGTCGGATTTGGAAGTGACTCCGGAGCGGTGAAGCAACCGCATGAAGAGACGGAGATCGTCTTCCGTCGTATCGGAAGCTACATGAGCAACAATCAAATCGTGCATGCTCTTGGTTCCTCTGAGAAACAGAGTACCCATTCCTTGGAGAGCGAATCGGTTATAACGACGACGAGATTCAGAGCCGGAGATGTCGCGATTGAGGAGAAATCGACGGTGAGGACGAGAAGAAACGGCGGGAAAGCCAGAGGAAGGTTCGAAGGTGGAGAGAGTGAAGAGGAAGAGAGTGAGGAAGAGGAGGAGGATGCAGATTGAGATTGTGGATTGAGCTTTGGAGAGGAGAAGACGAGAAGATCTGGAGCGGAAGAGAGTTGTTGCCGGAGAAGGAGAAGAGGAAGAGGAAGAAGGAGAGTCGTCGTTGTGGTGGTCGGGGAAGAAGACTAAGAGCAAACCCATTCCTCTACTGTTGTTGTTCTTCGTCTCTTTTGCTGATATCAAACCCATTGATTCTCTCTCTCTCTCTCTCTCTCAGAATTCTTCTGGGTTAGTGGTGAAGAGAGGCTGAGACTGAGAACATTTTCTTTTTCGCTTTCTTCTCGAATTTTGGCTTTTTTGGTTTTTTGCATCAAAATTATTTCTTCTGTTTGATTTATTTTAATGAAGATAACAACGAAAAGGATAGCCGGGTCGGGTCTTCCGGGTCAGATTATTTTTTTGGAACGACAACAAATGTGGGTGGATATTAAATCAAGGGATGTTTTTAATTAACGACCCCATGATGTCGAATTTTAAATTTAACTTCAAATAAGTATAATAAAAAGTTAAAGAGGAAGTTATTATTAACTTTCACAGAATAAGAGAATCTAAAAATGTGAAGTTAGAAGATCCAAAAATCTATATTGAGATTTACAACTAAATCTAAGTTTGTTAAGTTTAAGATAAATACAGTAGTTAACATTTAACATTTTTAGAAATAATTGGATATTATTGTTATACATTTGTAGATAAATGTAAATAAACTGAGATATTCACAAATATACAGTAGTTAACATTTAACATTTTTAGAAATAATTGGATATTATTGTTATATTTTAAGCTCTTGTGTTAAGAAAAAAGAAGTAAATAATTAAAGACTAATAAGAGGTTAGTTTTACTTTTATGGTATGTTGCCTTTACTTTAGTTATGAATACGATCACATGTTTATTGCGCAATGTGCTTCCTATTAAAAAAAAAATGATAAATTCATATTAATGGGAAGTGAGAACCTTCCTTATTAAATTCAGTGTATCAAGGCTTTTAAAGAGAGGTACTTATGTGTATAGTACTAATTAAACCAGATTTTTTCAAAGGATGTGCCTAATTTTCTTTTTAAGAAAACAAAGTTTGACCGTTCTCACTCTACTTTTTCTGTATGTAAATAATTACATTGACCGGTTAAGTTGCATTACGATTCGGATTTCTGAAGCTCTTTTACATGGAGTATTTATTGGTTAGTGTAAAAATCGTTTTACATTGGACAAATTGTAATGGAAATAGTAATTGAAGCCAAAAGATTCGGTTGAATGCAGTTGAATGTTGAGTACTACTGAAATGGGGGTTGAATTCTTAGCAACATCCTCTTAATAAATTGTGAGTAATTTCTGGAATTTAATGAATATTACAAGTATATAAAAATCGAAAATTGTAATCGTTGATTTTGGAGTATATGTTAACAATGTAAAAAAAAAAAAAAAAAAAGATAATGTAAACGCGGACATATAAATTGATCGAATTTATAATTTTACTGATCATGACTAAATAGAAAATCTCAAACATGCTTTTTTTGACCAATGTAAATACTACTCCAAAATTAGTTTATGAAAGAGTTTTGGGAGTAGTTTTCAACGACCTAAAAACAAACAAAGCAATCGTATCTAACCAAAATTAGTTTATGAAAGAGTTTTGGGATCATTAATCATCCTATAATAAACCAAAAATGGCAAAATACTTGGAAGAAAGCAATAAATGCCCGGATACGTGAAGAAGGCAGTTACTCATCATAGCCCCACTTCATTAAATCTGCCCCCTTGATTACAGCTAGGATCAGTGATCGGACGGTGGAGAAATGCGGAAGTGTCTCGTAATAATGAATAAGAGTAATGGGTCTATTAAACATGTAAATAAAGTGAACGGTGATTTGACTTTTGTTGGGGACTCCGTGAGAACAAGTGTGTGTGTGTTGATGACGGTGGTGGATCTCATTCTCATCGGAACCTTCTCTTCAAGCTCCTGCACACGTGGCGTTTCTGATTTTCCGTTTTTAGGTCCGGGACTTGTGCTTATTATTCTCTTTCTTTCCCACATTTCTTTAATTATTTCGTCATTTAGACTCATTTCCAATTTTTATGTCGACTAGTCATCACCCTTTTGTATTCCTAAATGTTTATATAACTAGGATCGGACCCGCAGAATATTGGTTTACATACGTTGCGTTTAATATTGTATGTGTTCTTTAGTAGAACGAATCGTGTAGTATACTTATAAATATTCATAATAACGAATTGTAGAGAAAATGTACAATTGTTTATAAATATACCCATCGTATTAATTATGATTTACAAAATAGAATTTTGTGTTTTAAAATTTAAAATTAGACGATTCATGGGAATTAGAGCAGTCAAAATATGTCAAAAACCGCGGGTCGAGCCCACATCATGTCACTATGGGGCAGATTTGGGGAAATATATTAAACCCGCAAATAAGCGGACCACATGGATTAATTCGCAGTGGGTCATAGGTTTAATTGGTTTTCATCCGCGGGTTGGCGGATCAGTATGCATATTAGTATTTATTGATAAAATTATAATTTATTCAACATGTGGTAATTTAAACAAACTTTTAATAGTAATTTTATTTATTTATTTATTTTAGAAGTATTTTAAATTTTGGTTACTTTAAAATTATTTAAACAAAATCCATGGACAATCCCGCAAATCCGCATACATTCGTGGGACGAGTTTGTATTTCATGTATGCTACCCGCGGGTTGTGCGGACCGACTAACACAAGTCAAAATATTTTTTGTCTATCGCAAAACGGACTCAACGGGACGAATCAACTCACTTTGACAGTTCTAATGGGAATATTATTTAGTCATACAACAAAATGAAGTTTGGACATAGTAATAATAGAATATGTATCTTATTTGTTAGATGAGAGATTGAAAGATGAAGTATAATGATTAAAAATTAATTATTATTTTTCATGATTCACAAAATTTAATAAATACTTATCATCTTGTTGAATAATTCTAAAATCATATTCAAAAAATCTTTATAAATTGAAAATTAAACTTCTTTGGTAAGCTATAGGTATGAAAATATCATAATTTCGATTTAATCTAATTAAATTAAAATTAGTTACATAGATTTCATATCTATTTAATTTACACGATCAAAATAAAAATATTTATTTAATTTACACAACCAAAATAAAAATATCAATTTAATTTATAAAACAGATGGGTTATTTGTGATAAATTTTCTAGAAATCCTTAGAAGCAAATAAAATATCTTTCAATTAATGATAATTGGCTAAAATGAGCGAAATTAATGACAATACGTTGATTGTTATGGAATTAGTCCCAAAAATATATGAACAAATTTATTATATGTAATTAATGTATAATATTGTTCGGAATATGCTTTTATTATTAGTTACCATAAGTACAATAAGATTTTATTTTATTTCGATTTTTCATTATTAATTCAAATTTGTATTCCAAAAAAATTTCAAAGATCCAATTTCAGAATTTCGGGTCAATTTTATGATTTTAACCCAACTCATTTTCATTTGTAATTCTCTTTTAATAGTATAGAGATTACTAGACGACTAACATTTTCTAATTTTCAGTCAAACCAGCTGCTTTCTCTGAAGAATATCCATATTTGTAAAGAGTTTTCTGCATTACTAAATACGAGTAGTGTCCACTATAGAAAAACTTGTACTGTTGTTGTACTTACTGACAAGAAAAGTAACATGTACTTATTGCCGCTTGTCAACCCTCTGGTGATTTATTTCTCTAAACATAAATATTTATTGTATGGGTCTGGTGATGATCTGAGCAGCCTCTTTCTAAGCCGTCGGCGACCTTTGAATTGTCGGTGGCCTTAAATGCCAGACACATTTCAGATCATCCTTTTAGAAAAGCCCAAACTAAAACATTGTTGGCCCAATTAAAGAAGTGGGCCGTAAAAAAGTTTGTAAGACGCTTCCGTTTATTGTCGACGAGTTTATGCAGCCCAGATTTGCTAAGTGATCACATTTTCTTGCTGACCTGACCTGAATAAATCATCTGCAATTGACTAACCATGTCTAGGAGCATTTACTCTTTTAACTCTCTATTCACCAAACTTATATTTTCAATAATGCTTAATCATCCTAATGTAGTGGCATTATAAGTGTGTGTAGTTGGTCTTATGTTTCTTGACTTCACTGAAAATCTGTATAGAAAATGTAAATTCATCACACATATTGTGTGGTGCGTTGGCAACTTTAACTAAGAAAATCTAATGTTATTGATTTGATCAAATCCTTCTCGATTGAGGAAAAATGTTCACCTAAACATTAAGAAAACTCTACTTGAGATGAAATAAAGCAAAAGAACAGCCCGGAACAAGAAGATACACAGAGAAGACCCTAAACACCAGGATTAGAAGAATAATCGATTCCATCAATCAGAAGCCACTTGACTCCCAGAGTTATCGCAGACCAGTTCGATCTTCGGCTTCTTTCTCTTTGTGCAATACCCCGTCGACGACAACCTAAGAAAGATAAAACCAACAAGTTTGTAGAATTCTCAGAGACAATAAAAGCTTGTAACAGAAGCTAGGGTTTTGTTTGCAGTTTACCCCAACTGCAAGGAAGTCTCGGAATGGTGCTCCTCGTTGTCATTCTCATCCTCCTCTGATGAAGAGCTCTCGGGATCGGCTTCTGGGCTAGAAACTTGAGGCCTTTCGTTCAACACTTTTGGTCCTGAACCTCTCCCCAACAGCTCTACCTGAGGGCAAATTAGAATTGAACTCAGTTATGATTGGTGAAGACTGAAGACAAGACCAAGCTAATTTAAGGATTTGATGAGTCTTTACCTGTTTGCGCAAGATTTGGTTTTCTTCCAATGCTCTTTTCTCCTAACAATGACAAGGAAACAAAAACAAGAATATTGAGATTCAACATTGTATACGAATTGATAATATAAATGATTCTGACATCTGAGGAGCTCTGTTCGTACCTGTAACCTGGATTTTTCAATCTGGTTGAGCAGGATTTGTGTCTGAATCAAAAGAGAACTTTTCAAGTCAGGAATTAATCAAAAATTGTCTCTCTATGTTTGATAAATTAATATTGTCTTCACCTTTTGATCTTTAACACTATGCAAGCTCTCGTTCAACTGGTTTTCAAGAGAAATAAGATCCGGGAAACTCATACCGTCAAGTGCCTTACCCTTCAGTCTCCTGTTCAGGAACAAATAGACAAAAAACGATGAACAAGAATGAAAGACCAAAACTTTAAACAAGAACAAACACAATTTGTTTTTCCAGTGAGATACATACTCAATTGCAAGCTGTAATCTTTCAAGTTCTCCCTTCACAGAATCATCATTTCGCAACTGCAACAACGAATACCATGTAAGATAAACCAAAACTTGAAAGGGATACAAAAGTTCTTGGCAGAGAATCTCTGCTTACCACAGCTTCATTTTCATGTGAAGCACAAATTAGAAGTTGTTTTTCTCTTTGTTTATGCTCAGTAGACGCAGTAGTGTATCCATATCTGGAAAGAATTTGCTCCATGCTTCACAAATTGAACAAAACTCTCAGTTAGTAAAACCCCTTAAGTGGTTTGATCATTACAGAAAAAAAATCATAAATCTCAACTCCTGCATTCTCAATTTCTTCACAAAGATGCGATAAACACACCAATTCCCAAACAAATAAACTCTTCTATGGTCTTATAATCTTAGAAATTAACGATCTTTCAGATTCTAACAACTGATATACCAAAAGATAGTACCAAATTGCAGTTTCTTTCAACAGTTAGGGTTTATAAAACTCACAAACTAATCCGATTGCAAAAATCCTAATCTCAATTCTCCAAACCTTAAACCCATCAAAAAGATTTCATCATCAACCTCAAGATTTAGCCAGATTAGCATCATCGAGACTATATAAACAGGGTTTGCTCTGTTTTCAATTGCTTTACACACAAAAACCCAAAAAAGCAAATCTTTTTATTTCCCCAGAAAAAAAGAAAAACACAAAATCATGAGATGATGATGATAAGTTACCAGCCGCTGGAGAAATCGTAAATCTTGCCGGTGCTGGAGAAGATGATAAGAGCAACCTCGGCGTCACAGAGAATCGAAAGCTCTTTAGCCTTCTTCATCAAACCGTTTCGTCGTTTAGAGAAAGTGACTTGACGACTGTTGACATTCTCAATCTTCTTAATCTCAATCCTTCCTCTCCCCATATCTCTCTGAACAACAAAATCAATCAATCTGGGCTCTGTAGAATAAAAAAAAAAACAGGGTAAAGAAGAGATAGAGAGAAGAGATGAGAACAGAGGAAACAAGTAGAGAGATTGAGAAAGATTTTGTATATATAGGAGAACTAGTACAAATGGGTTTTCTTTAGAAATTGATCAAATATATGAGAGACAATTGGGAAAGGGGCTAAGGAAGGAAAATTAGGACCAAAATTAGGGTATTATATAAAAATATGGAGTTACTATAAGTAGCAATTTTCCATATTTGGTGGCTTTGCTAATTTGCTTTGCTTGGTGTGAGTGGCTGTTTTCTTCTTTTGGAACTTCTTCCCTTTTATAACGCCTTGTTTTCGTTTTGGATCTCTTCTCTTTTTTCTTATATCGCCTCCCTTTTTTTTTCTTTCTAGGGTTTTCTTTTTTGGCTTTGCTTTTAGGTCATGCTTTTTATTACGTTTCTAAAAAACTTAAATCTACCATAATTTCATATTTTTATTGCTTTAAAGAAATGTGCTTTATATATAGTCAAATAAAGTTGACCGTATATTAAGGAAATATATTTGATCAACTATAATGTTTCATTTTATTATAGTGTTTGTTTATTTTTAGTTATTTTGTATACCATGTTTATTTAATAACTGAAGTTTTCATATCTTTAAAAAGATATATGAAATAACTACTGTGTTTTTTTTTTTCTCTTTAACTTTGTTTTCTTTTTGGTTGAGATCTTGTTTCTTTTTTTTTTGGTTGAGATCTAGTAGAATGGCCAAACGTGGCCTTATTTGAAGAAGGATATGATAAGAAAAGCAAAAGGTGTGGCTTTAACGTTTCTATAGATAGTAAAATCTCACAAGGAAGATTACTTTCCCCTCCAAACCGAGTTTGTTGTATTTTAAGTAAAAGAAAAATATCACTTTTTTAAGAAGACTTTCTATTGTAACCAAAATTATATTTAGAGAATTTAAACTGTATTTTGGAATTATCCATATATTAATAGAAAATAAAATTAATTAGTTCCGTCGTGAATATTGTGAAGCAAATATTTTTGTATAAATATGGAAGTTTTAAGTAAATATAAATACAGCTCAACATTTTGTTTTGCAGTGTAAATAATTCAGATGCGTGCTTCTAAATATAGTGTTAGGTCATTTAATGGTGCTCTTTTCATACTTGGTCAATATTCTCCCTTTTCCAAAATTGAAATTGATACTAGACTAGAAAATAATAAATAATATACTAAAAATACTTAGGTAGGATCGTAAATAAATATATAATAAGAAACCGTTTTGGTTTTTTTTTTTTCTTTTTTTTTTTTTTTTTTTTTTTTTTTTTACCGTTTTGGGATATTACTTATACAAAGGTTGGTTTGTGTACAAAAATAAAATAAAAAAGAAAGTTATTGTTTCCTTTCATTAACCAATAACCAGACACTTCTGTAACGGAACATACTAGAAAAGAGAATGAGCCACTTGTCGTAGTTACATGCAATTTGTTTCCATAACTTCTAGATTAATTTTAATCATATTTGTTTATGAAAAAACAATGAAATTTGATGATAATTATAACAAGGTACAATAAACTAAAATTATAGTTGAATTTATTAATCTTATCAAATAGAAACGAAAAAAAAATCTTAACAAATAGAGATCTATCTACAGTACGCAAATCTCGGTGTTTTACTTCGTAAACACACAAAATTCAAAATTGTAAAAAGATGTATGGAGGAATTATCAAAGATTAGTACGTTTGGGGATTTGGGCCTATAAGGGAAAATAATATTTGGGCCCTTAGACCCAGTTGGGTGTGGTTTGAAGTCATTGACAAATGAGTGAAAAACTCGGTTTAGTTGGTATTCTCCTCTAAATTTTAGTTGGTATTCTATACAGAACAAAAGCTTATATTAAAAGCTACGACGCAAAAGAAAATATATGCATTCTCTCTACTTTGACCAAAAAAAAAAAAAAAATTCTCTGTACAAAATATTTACATCTCCAAAACTAGTTTATACAATCTCAAACTCGGTTTAATTAGTAACATCCGGTTTGTGACTGCTATACACCGGTCCAATTCGCTTCATCGAGAAATCGTAAGCACGAGACAACGGTTTCCTGAATCTTTTCAAATCAAGCTTCACGTTCTGGCGCTCGAGATAAATCTTCTTAGTGTAGTCCCATCCTTTTTGAGTAAAACTCTTAGGATCTCGGATTATGGGATCATCTTTGCCATATTCATCATATAAAGAGCTCTCTTTCGGTTTAATCTTGTAACCAATGTACTTCAATCTCATCTTCTTGGCTGGTTTTCCATAGTAAGTCTCAGCTGCCCATTCGGTTCCTATTGGTATAATCTGTATAAAGACAGTTTTCGGTTTCATGAAAAGGAAATGTGTCATTGCAGCTCCGTGAACACCGATCATCACATCGCTAGAATTCAAACATTTGTAGATTTTTGCCAGCTCTGTTGTTTTATCCGGTCTCAAAACATAAACGATGAATCCGATTTCCTCGGCTAATGCCACCAAAAGACCATCATTGAGTATCTCTCTCGATCCATTTCTCGACAGAATCACCAATTTCGGTTTCTTGAAACCGTCTTCTTGAACCCTTTTACCGGTCTTGTTTGCTGCCTCGAGTTCTTCCTCTTGACTCAATCCACGGATACGCGGCCAATAAGCCTGATTCAACACATTTCTGAAATCAAGAATCGTTTTATTCCCAAGCATCAACGACGAATCAACGGTTAACTCGTCGTGAATCTTCAATCCCACAATAGCTTCCTTGAAACATTGCGTTCTCTTGTCGCCATTAAAGTCGACAGGAGGATAATCGGATAGCTGAGAAACGATATCTCCATATTTCATAACCCACCAACTATGATACTCAACAATCACAAACACAACCTTCTTGTTGAAATGATGTGAAGTGATGAACAAAGGGATGATTCCGTCGTTGAATTCATGGTAAACATTTCCGGTATATCCACCTGTTGAGAAAAACACAGCAGGAACGTTATAGAACACATCGCAGATGTTGTTATTATGTTCATCAACAGAGACTAAATAATTGTTTTTTTCATCTCTGTAAACGAGATTGAGTTGTTGAACTGTTTGCATCACACTAGTTTCCCATTTTCTAGTGTAAGGCTTGATCTTTCCAGTGATCGTTATCTTGTTTTTGAGGGACGTGAAGAGGAAGACTGATGAAGAAGCAGAGTGTGTCCTAACATCTCCTTTCATGATACAAACGTCGGATCTAAAACCGGTTCTGTCACAACAAATTGTTCCTGCAATTGAGATATATAATTAAACAGAGTTTGTTAGAATTAAAAACAGGTTTTAGATGAAAGAAGAGATTTCAAAAGATATAATATACCATTTGAGGTTCCTGAACAAAGAGGTGCAATGAACAATTCATAAGGACCAAATCCTTTAACCTCTCTGCTAAAAGCATCTGCACAAGAAAGTTCACAATCGAAGAAGTTATGAGAAAATCTAGAAAATAATTAATGAAAGATATTACGAATAAGGTGATTTTACCTAGAAGAGAGAAAGAGGAAAAGCTGAAGATGTAACAGCATGAGAGTAAAGAGAGAAAGATAATAAAGAGAATCTTCTGTTTAGTTGTCTTTGAGTAGCCACCGCCGGAGACGGCGACGACGTTGGCACCGGAGCCACCTTCTTCTTTTACTGAAAGTCTAAGCTTTTCCCCTTTTTTGATTAGTCTCTTGTATTGAACCATTTTCTGTAGAACAAAAGAAGAAACCAACAAGCAAAGTTTTGATTTTTACGATGCCTCTGATCGACTTTTGATGCTCTGACTAAGAATCAGGTGACCCAGAAGAAAAAAACAGAGGGCTGGGTTATTATGATGGTGCTTTCTCTTACTTCAAGAGAGAAACAGAGAAGGAGAGACTTTTGAGAGAGAGGATGTTTTCAAATTTCTTTAAAGTATCAATTTTATTTGTTTTGTTTTCATCGAGTTTCTTTCGTCAGCTGATGGAAAGTGGAAACAATGAGAGACGTGTCAAAGAAGAGGATGGAACTGCTTTTACTCTTTCTTTTTTTTCCTCTTCTCATTGTACTTCCTTAATTATTGCTTTATTAGTTATAACTAATATTCTTATTTTTCCTAAATTTGAATTTTTTTTATAAGAGTGAAATGAAATCCAAAGTAAATTATGGTTATTAATTTATGAGAAATTGTTAAAAATGCCTCTTTTTCAATATCTCTTTTCAAAAATGTCCCCTTTGAGAGTCCATTTTTAAGTTTGCCCTCTTTTAATTTTTAATGACTATTTTACCCTTATTTGAAACAAAATTAGGTCCACAAAATACAAAATATTTTTTGGCGGGAAAAGTGATCCCGCAATTTTCCCGCCAAAACACTTGTAAAAACCTTTAAAAAACCTTGTAAAATTTTCCCGTAAAAATTTTTCCCGCCAAAAAATTTTCCCGCCAAAAAATTTTTTTTGCGGGAAAAGTGATTCCGCAATTTTTTTTGCGAAATTTTTTTGGCGGGAAAATTTTTGGCGGGAAAAATTTACAAGGTATTTTAAAGGTTTTTTACAAGGTATTTACAAGTGTTTTGTAAAGTTTTACAATGTATTTTAAAAGGTTTTACAAGGTACTTTAAAGGTTTTATAAGTTATTTATAACTTGTAAAACCTTATAAAAAATTTGTAAAACCTTATACTTGTAAAACCTTATAAAATAGCTTGTAAAATCTTATAATATCTTATAAATACCTTGTAAATACGTTGTAAAACCTTTTAAAATACATTGTAAAACCTTATAAATACCTTGTAAAAAACCTTTAAAATACTTTGTAAATTTTTGGCGGGAAAAATTTTCCCGCCAAAAATTTAACGGCAAAAAAATTGCGGAATCACTTTTCCCGCAAAAAAAATTTTTTGGCGGGAAAATTTTTTGGCGGGAAAAAATTTTACGGGAAAATTTTACAAGGTATTTTAAAGTTTTTACAAATTTTTACAAGTGTTTTGGCGGGAAAAATTGGGGGATCACTTTTCCCGCCAAAAAATATTTTGTATTTTGTGGACCTAATTTTGTTATATTTCTTTATATATTTATGATATCTTTTATTAAAGAAGGGTAATTTAGTCATTTTGTACATAAAAGGGGTATTTTTAAAAATGGACATCCATAGGGGGCATTTTTGAAAAGGGGTATTGGAAAAGGGGCATTTTTGTGAGTCTCCCATAATTTATTATAATTAAATTACAATGAAATATACTCTCTCTGTTCCTAATAGTTTGATGTTTTGGAATTTTCACACATATTAAGAACTCAATCATTGTTTAATTATTTTAACATTGTTTTTAATCAAAAATATTTTTAGTTATTATCAACCAATAATAGTCTAAGAAAGTTAATGATTTATAATCATTGTATCTTGAAATTTACAATTTATTATTATAAGTCAATAAAAATAAAATAAAAATGTTAGAAAATTAATTTTTGTGGAACAAACAACAAAAGCTAGAACATCAATCTTTAAGGAACACAGAGAGTATAAATCCTTGCTTCCACCTAATATTTCTTTTAAAACTGTTAAGACTGATTTGTATTATGCATTTTATATATAGTTTAATTGGTAATTTCGTATTGGTGTGATAGTAAATGTACTATTTTCATTGGAAACCTTAAATTGAGGTGAAGAAAATATTCGTGATTTACGCAAACGAATAAATTGATGGGCATGGTCAGCTGTTGGCCCATCACCATCGCCTCGTTAAATAACGGTATATAATATTTACTACTGAGGATGTGTTACCAGTTACCATTATGTGATCACATTCAATAATCAATTGGGTGATGGTCTGGTCATTGTAAGACCATATGCAGGGGAACTTTTGAGTGTGTTCTTAGGATTTAAAAATAGTAAATAAGGTGAACAGTGGTAGACCAGTTCTAATTTATCATACAAACTGTTCTTCCTGAAGAACAGTTTTTATAATTTTAAGAACAGTTGTATCCACTATTTAACATTTTTATTATTTTAAAACCCTTAAGAACACACCAAGTGTTCCCTCTTGTAATGCTCTAATAACATTTTCCAATATAGTGTTTTCTTTGTGTATGTTGAATTTACATTTGTAGTCGATGGATACCATATACAAACATATGTTGTCATCGGAATTTGAAACTTATGATTATATTACTATTGGGCAACTTCATTATATGATGCAGTAGACTTAAAAAACCATATTTCTACTTATTGCAACCGTAGGTCTCCTGTATCAGTTGCTGCAGGAGTCGTATATGCCATTGCTTTCTTATGAGAAGAAGCTGCTCAAAGGTCACATTTAAATCTCCATCTACATAGCAAGCCTTAAAGCAAAGTCTGATCAGATCTTCTCTTTCTCTAATATATTGACACATAATGAGTTGCAGGTATAATAGAAGCCACTGGAGTTGCAGAAAACACGATAAAAGGAACATACGAGGACTTAATTCCAAAACTGCCAACAATAATACCCAAGTGATTTGCTAAAGCAAAGGACCTCAAAAACCTTGGCGGTCCTTAGATCTTTATGTGCGAGGATACAAGCAATCTCACTCAAAGAAGCTTTCCTCTTTCCATTCTTTTTCTGAAGCCCTTTACAAGATTCTTCCTATGCCTTGTCGAAAAACATAAAGTTGTACATATTGCCTCATCAAATACGCATCATCAAAGTTACTCCAAGTGTATGTAAACCCTCTGTTTGATTCGTGACTTTGTCTAAAAAATACAAGACTATTCCGGTTTTTTTTGTTACATTTTATGGTAAGACAGGAAGGTCTATGGAACTGAAAGAAAAGAAACTGGCACGGCCCTGAGCGACATGACAGAACATTAATGGTGCAGCTATGCGCTTTTGCAGGACTTTAATATCTTCTTTGCTTGGTGGAGAGTCCCTGTAAAAGAGGATGAGTATATTTAGAAAGACGTGTAATTAAAAACTTGCATTCATAGTTCGAACTAACAACGCTTACCCAGAGAAGCAAGCTACAAAGCTCGGTTCACCAGGAGAAGACTTCTTGAACCGGCTGTTTGGTAGATACACGTCAAACACAGCTTTTGCATCACAAATCTGCATATCTCCCAAGAGTTTAGTTACAGTATCCTTGTCTTCAAGACATTCACCTGCACAAGCTGACTCTTCTTCACCATTTGGTCTCGTAATTGCAGCATCCTTTAACGTCCAAGAAATTCCATTCCTGCCTAGGATGTAACCTAGACCCTTTAAGTATCTATAAACCTCATAGTTATCCCAAGAGCAACCGCTTTTTTCCTCTGCCATTTTCTCATACAAGTCCTTCAATGGGATCACTATGTCATCCTCATTACTCAAGATCTGTAACTCTCCTATTTCACTCAAATACCTGCAACAAGAAGGAAGAATAAACGAAAAAGAAAGAGACTTTCATCAGATCGTTGAGTAAAAAACTGATCTAAAATACTAGTAAAATGTTTAGTTTGCCACATACAGAGCCTCTTCTATGAAGCAATATGTCTTTCCACTACGAATGATTCCAGTTGTCGTCCAAAGTTTTCCCCTTTTAACCTCAACTTCAGCCATTCCTAACTCAGCCATCCAACGAGCCTTGGAAGATCCTACTCTAATTTTTGCAAACACAAAAAAAAAGAGAAACTGATTCTAAGAATAGTTGACTTAGCAGTTTATGATTTGGGCAAGTAAAAAGACAAAGTTCTTGCCGATTTTTATTCACCTGAACTGTAACTTGGGTACTGAACCACCAGAATGAAACTCTTCGTCATCATCGTTTGGAAAACCAGCTTCGTTATCGCTTGAAGAAGAAACTTCCCAGTCTTTTTCCTCCATAAGCTTAAAGTATAAAACCCTCGTTTCCGGTGAAGAAGATGTTCAAGGAGGCAATTCGTCGAACAGTTGGCGTACAACTAAATCTGTCTCTTTAGATCGTGCTGGGTCGTATATTCATTCTTTCTCTTTTTCGTTGGTTTGAGTTTTTATTGTACCGAATCGATAAATAAGTAATCAAGACCCGAACCGATCTAACCGGTTTGAGAAAATGAGAAAAAATCGTTTTAAATGTTCGAATCCTAAACCCTTGACATTCTCCTTCTCCTGAGCTCAAACTCTCAATATCAATGGCGAACGACCAGGAGATGAGTGGATGGACTGATCTTCTCCATTCTTCTACTAAGCTCCTTGAGCAAGCGACTCCTTCGTCTCAGTTTCCTCCTCTTCAGGTCCTTCTACTAACCACCACTCTTTTCGATTTCGACTCTCCGTTTGTTTGTAGGAAATATTCGCTGTTGGTTTCTTTGGATTGAAAAACTACTGGTTTATGTGCTTTCTCTCCTATCACGATGGGATTGATTCGTAATGATATATCTGTGTGGTTTATAGAGGAATTTGGATCAATTGGAAGCATTGTCGAGGAAACTCAAGGCTAAAACCCTAAGAAACGAAGCGCCTTCAGAGTCTATTTCTGCCACAAGGTACTACAACTTTGATTTTCTCTTTCCCTTGGTCTTGCGTTTTAGTCTTACAGAGTGAGTCCCTGAGAATGCCACATTGTTGACTCAGTTTTGGCATTATAGAAGTTAGGTCCGACGAGCCTAACACAGTAGAATCCTCTGGTCTATATTTTGAGAAATTGAGGGTCTTATGTTGTTATAACTTTCATAAGAGAGTGATGATGATTCTGGTGTCTTTATTTTTGCTTGGATACGCAGACTCCTTGCACGGGAGGGAATCAATGCAGATCAATTATCTCGTGATCTTAAGTCATTTGAGTTGAAGGTGAGCTTTTTCTCTATTTCCTATCTCTATCTTCTTTGGATAATTTGACATTTTATCTGTGTACTGAATGAGCTTTGCCTAAAATTTTTTTCCAATTGTTAATAGACCACATTTGAGGATGTATTCCCTGCCGAGACAACAAATGTTGAAGAATATCTGCAACAGGTTTCCTATATCTAAATGCTCTTCGAAAATTCCCTATTTTTTAGATAACACTACCGCTCGTTCTATATGCATTATTCTTGTCTCTAGGTTCATGAAATGGCTATGGTATCGGCTATACAGGAGGCTCAAAAAGATAATGTTCGAAGCTTTAACAACTACATGTTGAAAGTGTTGGAGGTCAGTATTGCGACTATCACAAATTGTTTTGACTTGATTTGCATGTTAGTTTCTTCATCTGTCACATCTTCTGCCTTCATACAATGTTCTCCTGCTTCTAATTGTTTTAAAGTTTTTCATCCTCGCCTTTTGCTTCTTCTCATTATGCTATTACAGACAAAGACTGGTAAATGATATTAGCATGAAACCATAATTGTTAAACGGAGGAACATGTTTTTCATCCCTACATATTTATGGCATTGTAATTTGAAATTCTTTCTATAGAATCAGTTAGAAACTGGTTGAGGTTCTTATTGCTAATTAGAATTAGAACTTAGAAGGATATATATTTTGAATTTATTCATGTCCTTTCTCATAAATACTTCAATGTGAAACCTGTTTATGGCAGGAGGACTGTAGGAAAGAAAAACGTGACTTTCTTCATAGCCTTAGCAAAATTTCAATGTTACCTAAGACCAAGATGATCGATTCAAGCAGAGGCTCTCATGCTGATTCACTAGTGCCTTTGAGTCCTCAAGTATCTTCAAAACCTGGAACGGAGCTCATGTCTATGACTAACAAACCCATTCATGAGAAAAAGGCTTATGTCTATGCCGAGGTTGTGAAGAAACTAAACTCTGCAAGAGAAAGAGGCTTGCCATTTAAAGTATGACCTTCGAAAACCTCCTTGTAAATTCTATAATATTGTTGCATTTTGAATGTCGGCCTGCTTGGTAATTGCAGCTGAAAATTGTGCATTTTTTGTTACTGTTCTTAGAAGTGAAGCTAAATCTAAAAAAAATCTGTACACCCTTCACCTTTTGATGATGATTGCTTTTTGTTCAGCAGTAATTCTAACGAGCTGACCTTTTACTCATTTGTTTAGCTCTGTTTCCTACTAATTTCTTATTTGTGCGTTTGTATAGCCTGCAACATCGTTCAATGGTGCATATGAAAGTCTAGGAATTGATTTGACTCGTGGAAAATCAGTCAACATGCAGAAAATATGGCAACTTATTCAGGTGATCTTTTCCTACCAGTGGCACCTTAAAGGACTGTTCTTACATTTCCAAGGCCTTTAACAATTTATAAAACAGGCAATGACGGGTGAAGATTCAGCAGTACAACATGGTGTTTCCAAGAGGATGGCCCTCGTGATAGGTGCAAGACGCCACTTGGAATGTGGGCATGAGAAACATATAATGGATACAATTCAAAGTCATCCTACACAAGTACTCGTTTCTATCTTGTATTAAATTTTGCTTGTAATTGCTATTTAAGGCATGTTACATGTGTCTTGATGCATCTTTTTAATTACTTTCTTAACTTCAAAGATGCTTTCTTGAAAATATGCCCTTGATCTTTCACTGAGTTCAAGTGCGTTATTAATCACAACATGTTTCTATCCCCTTTTTCGAATCTTGTTCTAGGCTGCTCTTGGTGGATCAGTTGGAAATATGCAAAGAATTCGTGCTTTTCTTCGGGTGAGTGCCACAGGTCTAATAAAGCTTAACACGAAGCATATATACACAGAAATATTATTTTGTGGCAATCATATACATTGGTTTGTGTGCATTTCTTGATTCTTCTTCAATACTGTGCAGATTCGTCTGAGAGATTATGGGATTTTGGATTTTGATTCAGGTGATGCTCGTAGGCAGCCTCCAGTTGATACTACTTGGCAGCAGGTTTCACATATCTTCACTCACGCTTTAAATTTTCACTGTCCTTAACAATTAAGTTGAATTGCAGAATCTTTTTATTGCTGTTCCCCAAGTTTCTTAACGGAAGAGATTGATTAAATATACCTCTCTGATTACAGATATATTTTTGCTTGAGAACTGGTTATTATGAGGAAGCTAGAGAAATTGCCCAGTCATCTCGGTCATCTCAACAACAGTTTGCTCCTCTGGTACATTTTTTGGTCTTAATAACCTACATTAATGTTTTGGAGTTGCCGTTTTGATTTCCCATTTTTTTGGCAGCTTACAGAGTGGATTACCACAGGTGGTACTGTGGCTGCACATACCGCTGCTATTGCTTCTGAGGAATGTGAGAAATTGTTAAGGATGGGTGATCGGTTTGGCCAAACAACATATGACAAGAAGAAGCTCCTACTCTACACTATCATATCTGGTTCCCGAAGGCAAATTGATCGCATCTTGAGGGATTTTTCTACGCTCTTTAACACAATAGAAGATTTTCTCTGGTTCAAACTATCATGTGTACGTGACGTAGCTGGTGGATCTTCATCTGTGATCTTGAATGATGGGCTAGTGCCTTACAGTTTGGATGATCTTCAGGTTTATCTTAATAAATTTGAGCCATCTTACTACACTAAGAATGGCAAAGATCCTCTGGTATACCCATATGTTTTGCTTCTTAGCATCCAGTTACTACCGGCGATCATGCACATGTCCAACGAAGCTGGAGATGAAGGGTATAACATTGATGCTGTCCATGTAGCTATTTCGCTAGTGGACCATTCCATTCTATCTGAAGGATCTGGGACTGGGCACAAACTAAGTGTGATGGATGCTAATGCTGAGGCATCTAGCATGATTAGGCAATATGGGTCAATGTATTTGCATCATGGTGATCTGCAAATGACGCTGGAATACTATGCACAAGCTGCTATTGCAGTAGGTGGGGGGCAACAAGCTTGGTCTGGAAGAAGTAATGTTGATCAACAAAGGCAAAGGAACTTGATGCTAAAGCAACTACTGACTGAGATTTTGTTACAAGAGAATGGTGTTTACTTTCTACTTGGTGCTAGAGGTTCCGGTGAAGAAGGTGAGCTTGGAAGATTTCTGCCTGATATAAAATTGAGGCAGCAGTTCTTGATCGAAGCTGCACATCAATGTCAAGAAGCTGGATTATATGACCAAGTAAGTAGCTTTTGTGCTTTTTGACCATATACTAACTACTTAAAACATGCTTTAGTAAACTGTCCATTGGTTCTTTGTTCAATTGGAGTGCTTTCACATACCAATCATTTATTTCTTTTACCATGTTTCATTTTATTACTGTTTGTTATCTGATGCAGTCGATAAAACTACAAAAGAGAGTTGGTGCGTATTCGTCTGCCTTGGAAACCATAAACAAATGTCTATCTGAAGCTATTTGCTCCCTCGTCCGTGGAAGGCCAGATGGTGAAACCCACACAGAGGGGCTTATTCTCTCAGGCAACGATATTCTCAATGCATACAAATATCACCCTGATGTCAGGTAAATTGCAGACTCCAATGGACTCACTCATTTACTTGTCTTAAGTTTTGGAGTTGTTGAATAAGGAGTTTCTCACTGGAAGTGTCACATTCTTGTATATTACAGTGGCCAGGAAAGAGATCGGGTTATGGAACAAGAAACAATACTAAGAGAGCTTGAGGCAATACTATCGATCCACAAGTTAGCCAGACTAAACAAACATCTAGATGCCATAAGAGAAGTCGCGAAACTTCCGTTCCTTCATCTCGATCCAAGACTACCCGACACCACCTCAGATGAGTTCCAGAGAGCATCCTCTTACTTTCAGACTTGTGTCCCTGATTTACTTAAGGTTGCTCTGACCTGTTTGGATAACGTAGCTGACACTGATGGATCGATCAGGGGCATGAGATCTAAGGTACACTTTAACAGTTTGCTTAATAAGGCATATGTATGATCATTAGAGATCATGATAGGGATATTAATCATGAATTTATTATGCAGATTGCTGGGTTTCTTGCAAGCAACACACAGCGGAACTGGCCTCGAGATTTGTACGAGAAGGTTGCTCGAAGCTTTTGAATCTAAGAAACTCAAATGAAGCTTTTGAATCTAAGAAACTCAAATGAAGCTTTTGAATCTAAGAAACTAGAATACGTGTCTACG